TGAGTCATTGTCAAATGGGCTATAGAAGCGGCATCTAATAGTACAAACAAATCATTCGAGATATTCCGACTGTAAGCTATTAGATGGCTTTGATTAACTGATACTCTATTGTCGATTTTTTGTCGAAGGAGCGCTCTTGATTCATCTATAATTCGGAGAGCTGACTGACGTACTGATTCAATTGAATCTGGCAGCTGAAGATTATTCAACCGTTTCCAATATTCTTCGAGTGTGTCATCGGACAAAGTAGGTGAATTGTATGTAAGAAGAAGCAAGACGGTGAGAGGAATATGTGCAATACTCTTGAATTCATGAACAATCGGTGGAACTGCTGTGACCACCGGATAACGGATTCCTCTATGAATAAAAGTAAGAGAATTTCCGTTTTTGATAATAACTGTCCCATTTTTGGTTATTAGATGCCAAAAACTATCACGAGCTTTCGCATACTGATGGCGAAATTCATTGTTAAGCTCTTTTAGTAGTGTCGGAAGAGGTTCAGGTTTTGTTGATATGGTTGTTACTGTTGTCTGTCCATCCATAAAGCATGTGCTAACAGCGATACAAGCGAACATTGATTCAATGAAGAGAAAAATATAAGAAAATTTCTTGAATATGATCAGAGCGTACATGACAAAGTTACTTCTGTCTTTTAGTGTTGAGATATAATGTTGTTTTGAAAGAAAAAAGAACTTACATACAAAGTATGTATGTGGATTAAAACAAAGCTCTTGCTCTTTAATCAGGAGATAGTGGCTATCATTGGTAGGATGAGAAAGCTGAAATAAAAAAGAGCAGTCATCACAAGGCCATTGTTACTGCTATTTAATCTTATCTTGATATACTGACATATTAGTCTTCAATATATCTTCGATAGATATAAGTAGCAGCAAAAATACGATTTCATCATTTCTGAGGCACTCCGTAGTGCTATATTGGCTACTACTAGAGCTAAGTTCTCATTCGTGGAGCAATATATATCATAAACCAACAGCTCTTGTAAATCCTAGATCAAATAGTTTTTCGAGGTTTTGAAGGCTGCATAAGATTATGACATCCATGCACACAATGTCTGGGTGAGGGTAAGGGCAAAATCTGAAGCTCGACAGAAGTTCGATTTTCGACATTTAACTATTAAATCCTCAGTCTCAATTTGCTTCAATGGTGGCTATACTGCTAGGCATAAGTAATGAAGAGGTCGACAGGAGACAAAGAAAATAAATCAAGCACAATGCTATTCTTTCGATTTTTAATTGTTTATACTGTTTTTTTCTTCATAAACAGCTTAGAATAGTACTGTGAAATACCTTGCAACTCGAAAAAAAAAATTCTCAATAGTATATTCTGTTTATGATTTCTACAAGGAGAAATGGCATACTTCTGTACGTTATCGAAGTACGAAGACGTAAAGAAGTATCAAGAAGTATAGAATCGTTTACAGGAGGACGAGACAGTTTTTGTTAGCTTTAGATATTTATTAAAAGCAAAAATAAAGAAAACCCTAAGAAAATAAACAGCATCAAATATGTCGTCACCGATTATAAAAAGAAGGAAATATATGTAATAAAAATTCTGTTTTGTTTAAGGTTTTCTATGTCTTATCAATGATAGACTATTTCAATTCATCTTGTATGTGAGTTTTATTACCATGCACTGATATTAGTATTTTTTATGAATATTAGTATTTATTTATGTTAGATGTTTAGCATTGTTCTTTTATTTTTATAATAGTTAAAATAAGTACCAGTTCTCTTTCTATGTATATGTTTCCTTTTGTTTTCTATTCTTTATTATGAGAAAGAGAAATAATGTGACTTTTTTTCTTTTTGAACATATCAGTACAAAAAAACTAATAGTAAAAAGAGGGCTGGTACTTCGTCTTCTACTATAAGGGTGTGGGTGTGGGTGTGGGTGTAAGTATCTTATTCAAATACACCAACATCCCAAGAATATCATATAAAGGGTCAATTTGAGTGAAGATATCCTTTACTGTATAACAGTCTTTTATCCATTGTTCATGTGGCATCTTATCATTACACAATACATAGATTGCGTATAGTTGCGATATATACTGGATGAGAGGCACGAGTTGTTGATCAAGAACATCACATACAATAAAAAACGCTTTTTCGCTTTCAATATTCGCAAGAAAATCGATAGAGATCAATGTGAACAAATGTTTTGATCGGATTAGTAATGCATCGAAGTTGATTTATCGAGTGTTGAAAGTTTGCATCAGATTCACTGATAGTTGGATCAAGTTAGATTATAACAAAATTCTCGAGAATATGCTACTGTCGACGCTGTGACGATATGATTTTGTTTTGTAATGTCTTTGATACAGACCACACTGAAATGCATAAGTTTCAACACACAAATTATTGTAAGTAGAAAAAAATTGAATTAAAAAATAATCTATTCATATAGTTTTGACCACTACTGCCGATGAAAAAATGTCGCAAGAGGAAAGAGAAGAGAGGATACACAAAAGGCAAAATAACACTATGATCTGATAAGGATCCAGAAGAGAGTGCAAACAAACAGAAAGAAAGAAAAGACAATGACATATATTTGAATTTGTTATTTGTCGTAGCATAATACAATCACTTTCGTAGAAGGGGGCTCGTGCGATTTAATCTATTTTCATACAGGAGCAAATGAAATGCTATTTATTTATTGGATCTTTATTCAATTTGATCTTCAACGGCCAGCATTTGGATAAAATCTAAAAATTCAGTTTCAACTCACTTTTTGAAACCAAACGATCCTTTATTTATAAACACAATAAAACTTTTACAAATTACAAAATAAAAAAGTTCAGCTAGATTAAGAGGTACAAGACCATTGTTGTCGTCTTGTAATAGCATCGCATAATTATAAGGAGTCAGATATATAGCTTTCTTTATGTCAGTTATCAAAATATTTTTTTACATATCCAGACAAGCAATGCCACTAGTAAACAGCACCCAAAGACGCTTCCAATAATGACACCAATCAATCCACCCAGCGCCAAGGCTCCCCACCGACGTGCACTAGGTGTACAGCTTCGAGTAGAAAAAACACATGAATCAGTCCCTATATAGTAGAAAAATAAAAATGAGTATTGTTAATCTCTGCACTTATTCTCTCAATTGCACTTACACGCACAGCACCATGAATCAAAAGCTGTACTACAACACCGCCCTTAATGAATAAAAGTGGTGGAATAATCTTCAAAAACTTTAAATTCCTACATACCGGTGTGCCCATTGTGTGCTGCAGTACAACTACCTCCATTACAACAACTTCTACATTGAGGAGTCTGTGCGAACGACAGACAGACAAACGCAATTAATAGACATAGCACATAAAAAATATAGATTAAAGAGGACATTTTGTGAAGAATATTTTGTAACACGTTTTAAGAAGAAGAATGAAAAGAAATGTGTTCTATACTATGCCTTAATCTTTTACTCTCACCCCTTATATATGTTTTATTTAAATGAGAACGCAAACGAATATGATTTTTTTTGTTGTTGTTGATATCATTCTTTTCCTCTACTTGGCAACACATGCAAACTTAGCCATCCAACTAATTTATGATACAATAACAAAAAAAGAAATCGTTTTCTTTTTGAAGTATTAATTCTTTCAAGAGAAACAGATTATTCGTCACTTTTCTTTATTAGGTATACATGGGCAGACTCTCATCCGCAAAATCAAATTTTCTCACAATATGGAAATAAAACACGTTTGTTCATACTTGCTATCATCTTTTATTTTTCTTCTATATCTATTCATATCGTTTATCTTGGATAGAGGTGGGAAGTTACCGTTCCCAGACCGTTACCCGGGAACGGTAACGGTAACTTCCCACCCCTAATCTTGAAGAGGCGTATTTCATGAGTGGACTTTATCTATCTCATTTTACTTGTTGAACTTACAGAATAAGGTGATATTCGCTGTGTTTTATCTTTCATAACGAACGAAAGATAAGAGAAGAACGGAGTCTTTTGTTTATTTATTTTCCAACACACGAATGCCGAGTAAATCAAAAAGAAACTTTATCATTAGAATGATAGATTTTTGCTTTTTACTCCACACATATCTACGCAACTGAACTAGTGAAATTTTATTCATTAAGTTTTTTCGTCAATATTGTTTTTGTCCAATTATTACTCACTAAGAAATTAGGGCTGCGCAAATACGAGTGCACAACGCATTCTATGTTTTCGCCTCATCCTCAATTTGAAAACATATTGTTTTTTTTATTATAGCATACAAATCTTTCTCTTTGTACTCAGTTTCTTTAAAAAATCATTGAAAGATTTATAGATTCTTAGTAATATACAATCACAAACAAATATTCAGACATGTTTACGATGTCAACAATTAGCAAAGGTCTATCAGGTTTGATAAAATTTATAAACTATCGAAGTGCATTTGACTTTTATTTGGACACTATTTCAAATTACAAACACTGACAGATTTATCATCAACACAAGCGGACAAAGTAATTATAGTTCATATTCGTTTTGTGTTTCTTCGAATAGATAAGTGATTAGAAAAACATCACAAACACTCTTTATTTATTAATAATCTAGGTGAAATCAATACATTAAATGAGAAATATCAAGCACATGCATTCATCGAATCTCGTTGGTCAGTTTCATTTGATAAATTTCCATCTGATCTATCAGCTGCTAATCCACAACGTTTAGCTGATGGAAAATCTGTTACCCTTGACAATTATGCTGAATGTCATTGGCATCGTCAATTTTATATTGAAAATGATTTCGGTGATTTAAGAGAACAAATAAAATATAGTGGAAAAATAAGCAAAGAAGATAATAAAATATATATTGGGGTGTGGGTATGGGTTTAAACAAAAACTTCAGACACCCACACCCACCCACACACCCGCCTGTAGATCTTCTCTTCAGACATACTCATATACTAACTCTCATACCTCAAATCTATCAATATGTCATACAATTTATGAAGTTCAATTATTTATGAGTATTGATAAGAAGATATATAAATAACAACTCATTTTGATGTTGAACATGAATTAACAATTAAATTTCAATTGTTATGAAACAATGAAAGTTATATTTTTAGGTCAAGAGTATAATAAAAATAAGTCAATCGATCATAAAATTTAATCTGAGAATACAAAAATAGCTAAAAATTCTGAATGAAAATGAGTATCGTTCAAGTCAAGAACTATTGATTGACATAGACAAATCAACATGCACTATGCCTAACAATTCTCCGTAGGTTCAAAATGTTTTTAAATATCCATAGAAAAATAACATCATTAAAAATAGTCGATATTTGACAAATCTTTAAAAGATTATTAAATTAACTTTCTACAGTTTAATATAATTTTCTATAAATAGAAATTTTCGGCTTGTAAAGATATTACTTGTAACCTTAACTTCCAATTTATTTCAAAACAATCAATAATAACTAGAAATCAAACAAAGATATACAACATAAACATATACATATATATCTCGATGGACATTATCTTGACTAAAATGTTCACTCTATCAGAAGACATGTTAGTTCGATTTCTATGATTCATCCTCGCTGCACAATAGCCTCAGACGTTTGTACGGATACTTTTGCATCGCGGGTTACTGTTGCAAATCGTTTAACTTATCTTCGTCAATTTCATTGTCAAATTACAGTACCATCAATTATTGATCTCGATCGAGTTCGACAAATTCACCTATATTTCAATAGAATTCAATAGAAACGAGATATTAACGGCACTATAATAATCAAATCGAAAAACAAAATAACATTATTTAAAAAAAGAGAGTGGTACATATTAGTGGATGATCAACATTAATAAAATTCGAAATATGTATACAGTATGTTCCAAAAGTCCAATCGACAAATAAATGTAAATATCTCTTTAACCATTCAAGTGATTTACATGAGGTTTTTATAGTTTTATTCCATATTCATTGAACTTGTATTTCATATAACCTTGTCAATAACAGTTGTACAGAGTGATTACTTACAACTGCAATACATTAACCTACCATTTTTGAAAATATCATATAAAGTTTATTTTGAAATCTTATTTGAACTTAATATGGGTGTAGGTGTGGGTGTGTGGAAAAAACATCCGCATCCACATCCACACCCACACCCTAGAGTCCTGCGGGAACGACTTTTTTCTGTATTTTTCCGTCCCGTTTCCCATGGCTATTTGTGTGCCGGGAACACGGAAATTGGAACAAAACTAAAAAATTAGCGTTCCCGAAAATCGTTTTATCCGTTTTTACATGCATTAAAATGTGTTCACTAGAAATGAATGTAGGCGAAATTTACCAAAAACGAAAGTTTTTTTAAATAGCAAACCGCAGTTGTGTCCTAAGTGGAAATCCTTAATATTTCCTTTATTGATCCCTAATGAAGTCAATACGGACCGTTACAGGTTTTACTGGTTTTTTTCTTGAGGAAACCACTATCCTGAAAGAAGTATGTGCTCACGGAATTTCTTGATTCTGACAGGATTTAAATCAGTATTCAATAGGGATCCAGAATGCTTCAGCACTAGTTTCGAACCAGGAGCTTTTCATGAGACTCATAAATCCTGAAAGAAGCGTATAGTCGCGGAATTTCTAGATCCTGACAGGGTTCAATTAGGATCGAATCATTTATCATTTTTTGAACCAACGGGTGTTGGTGTGTGGATGCGATCACAGTTCATTTCTCCTGTTACATTCACACTCACACCCACACCTACACCCAGCACTCTTATTTTGCCTTTGGCAAAGATAGATTAGCTAAATAACAACTTTTATCATTTCTAATTCAGCCATACAGCGAAGATATAGCACCAGTAAGACAAAGACTAAAGAGAAAGAACTTTAAAATTACGGGAAATCCGATGCTCGGATTCACATTTCTTAATCTCACAAAAAGGTTTAGTGAAACCTTGTGAACATTTTCTCGATTGTTCTGCAGTCATTTATTTGCTCGTGACAAACGAAAGATACTAATTAGAAGACGCACCGGTAAAAGTTTGTCGAAGGCAAAAATTCGACTTAGTTTTTCAACATAATCTCATAGTTTCTCTCTGGTCAACTACAAGAAAACTTTTGATCTCTGAGATGAAATTTGACACAAATAAACCTCTGAATCAAGCTGATTCCAAATGATGAAGTTCAATATTTAGCTTGAAGATCATGTTCTGTATCAAGAAAAACTCGATTTTCTTAATGATATATTGAATAGAACAGATTACAAAATGAATTTGAATTTGGGGGTACTGTGATATATTTTCGAAAAAGCGATTGAAGTCTATATGATTTAAGAAGGTTATCGGAGTATAGACCTTCAGGATCTTTTTTTCTGACCGAAATGAATCCTACCAAGTGAGCTGAGGACCATCGGAAAAGCAGTTTACAGAATGAAAAGTAAATTTTATTTGTTATGATCAGCCCCATATACAGCAATCTTTGACTGATTCGACCATGAAAACCTCTAGTTCGTAATGTTCAACATCGAAACACTCTCCATTATTACTCATCTTAAAGTTTGTCATCATATGTATTTAATCTCGATCGACAAGAAGGAGAGAAACAAATTTATTTCCGTTGACTCGACCAAGCTTAAATCTTGTTTCGTGAATAAAAAGTAGATAGAATAAAGAAAAAAACGAACATTCAATCTCTCTGTGTAGAAAAAATTTTTATGAACGATTATTTGAGTTAGTCTGTCTGGTGGTGCATTGTGCTGAATTTCCGCTAAGAAAAGCATCTAGTCTTGCTTGAGCCTGTCGATTGTTCATGAATAGTTGTCGAACGAGTTCTACATAATCTTCTCCTGGTCTGATATTTTCTGGGTTAATTTGTTCAGGTAAGCCGCAGCTACCCACTTGGCACGGTGGATCGCTGCCGTACAAGCCCAAGCAACATGCCCATATTAATTTTGGTAATCGTACGGTTTGACCACTAGGGGCGTTGGCTGCATCTAACTTAGCTTTTTGAGTTTTTTCTTGGGCTTGCTCTACTGTCAATTTGACACCATGATGAAGATCCCAAACGAATCCGTCATGATAATGACAATATCCATGGCTTGTCTTGGATGGAATGTAATTTTGTCTGCATTTTGGACATTTTTTTACAGAATCCTCGTCTTTGTGCTTATTTCTCGCCGCACGGTTTCGATCTTCTTGTTTTTGACTCTTCTTAAAATCGATATCATCGACAAGTAGATTGCGCAAAAATGGATGCTTTACAATGATAACCATCCATTTTTCTTTCGGTTGATCAACGATCGCCGACTAGAACATAAGGATTGCATGAACATAGAATTATTCTATGAGAAAAAAAAAATATTAGTTTTTGTTTAGTAACATATACTCACGGTATTCTCTGGTGGTTTTGTTTCGACGACCGCCGTCTTGCATTTCTCTCGAATGTATTGATATAAACGAATGTTGGAGATCGATGTTGATTGCGACATGTTTGAATCGGATATATTAAGCATAATAAGAGAGTCAATGTCGAAAATGAGCATCGAACGATTATATTCCTCGCATTCTAAAATAAAATGTGTTTTTTATTTTTTTTGTTTTTTAAACACGACTGAGGTCTAGATTGAATGGATATAGCATAACTTAATCTTAACGACAGACAATAATCAAAATAGCAGTCAAAATATTTATCAATCTCTTTTGCAAATGTAATCTCATATTTGAATTAGCTCACCTTTGAAAACTCTGATGGAACGAAAATAAAACTCGGCATGCCGCTGGTACAGTTAATAAACATAGTCAGAATCTATAAGTGTAGAACCAAGCGTAAGGTCATTAACGTTATGAACGACGATTCTTTCATGGCGTGGATTCGTATTAGGAAATGACGACCCTTACTCTAGGCATTTTCTAAACGTTTGAGATTCATCTTGAAACTGAATTTTAAATGAAAGCTAGATCGTTTGAAGTCAAATATTCTCTCTCTAACTCATCTCATAGTCCTATGTCTTTCTTTCAACCAATATCTGCAATTTTGTTTTTAGTTGATTTTGATGGCAATGTCCTAGACGAGTACAAAAGCAAAAGAAGCTAATATTTTTCTCATGAAAAGATATATACAAGATCTATGGGTAAGTTAAATTGCACTGCGCAATTCACATCTAAGAACAATTATTTGGGTGATTCAGCGTGTCCAGAAGTGAATGTCTGATCCATATGAAATTCTTACCTTATGTAGGTTGCATTGGTTTATGCCATTCTAGAAACTTTCAAATCAATCCAATAAATTTTAGATTCGTTTCATATGAATCCGATCGATATGATTAAGCCAATGATCGAATCATAACATTTTTAGATCATTGCTCAAATAGAATGATACTTTTCGATAGGTGTGTATGAAGGATTCTATCCGTAATCATTCGTGGTGACCTTATTAGAAGATATCTGATGCATATTCATATACTTCTGCATGAAGTATATTGTTCTCATACGTGGATAAGAATGCATCTTTATGTTCTTGCTTCTTTTTAAGCCATACTCTCCTTATCGTTGTTCATGTTTTCTCCGGTTTATTATTGAAATCAACGAGAAACGAGTTATTCATTCAATTTGACTCTGGAACTCGTTTTCTAGAGAAAATTAACCTTTTGTATTCGTAATGATCAAATATTGATAGTTTTCCATTCAATATTATTATCAACATAATGGAAAATTTCTCATAGTCATATATAGACTGTTAACACATCAACAAGTTTTATGCTAAAATTTAACGCACTTCAAACTTAGCTAAATAATATTCTTAAGTTATCTGACTAAACATTTTATTCTATGAGGAATTCATTCACACAGCATTCTTACATAGTCAAATCTCTTTGAAAACGTATTTTAAAACATCTATGGACAGATTGTGTTATTTAAACGACAGTCTAATAATGGAATGATCGTACAACCGATTTGATACTGAACATCAATGTTTACATATATAAGTTCTCAAACTTGTTGGCATGACATAAAACAATGAGTTCATTGTTGGCTAAGAACATCAGATCTATTCTATGCATATATTTTTTTTTTCTAATTATGTAAAATAAATCAGTAAACTTTCCTGGTTCTCTACGTTTCAACATTTCTGGCTGGAACTTGTCCTACGAATGGAAAATTTTGATATCTCGGTGTCCTGAAAGTATTCACTGTATTGATTGAATCATTGACGAAACATGGCTGGTTCAAAAACAGGTACTAGTAAGATACGATCTTATTCAGTTTTGCTGAAATTTTAATACGCTTTTAATATTTCATGCTGATTAGACCTTACGAAGATGATACTGAACCATACACGAACTCATTGGCTTTCAAATTCTATGATCTTTGATCACGGTGAAAATTCAAGTGTGGAACTTTACCTTTTTACTCTGAGAAACGACGACAGAATTCAAAGTCAGACAAGTTTATGTATGGTTGGCCATAATCATGAGAAAGTCTCTTTAGTATGCATTCTTAGTTATCTCTTGGTGAATAGCGTCCAAGTGAGATTATATCTAACAGAAAGGTATTTATTTATTTTACTACGGGTTCTAATATAAAAATGGTGATAAGCAGAATTCCTTGAAAGGAAACTTTTGAGCTTTATCTATTAATATCATTCGAAAGTTATACAGCTCGCAGAGTGAGTTTGAATGTATTCTACTGCTAGAACGGTTCGAAAAATAAATTCTGTTGAGCCACGCCATTTGATGCTGATCTAAAAAAGTGAGAATTCAGTTTTCATACTTACCGAGAAATGTTGTCGTCAATAATTCAAAGATTTGATTCTCTTCAAATGCATTATTCTTTGTGAGAAAATTCAAATCAATTATCTGTATTGTATCAATATTTCGACTCGAGCATCCATTAATAAAACGGGACAGAAGTGTTAATGTACATGTTTCTTGTTTTTCTAATTCGTATTCAAGCGACAAATCGTCTCCGGCTAGTTCAACAATACATTTCTGTTCGTTTAAATTGACAAGAATTCGACCAGATGGAACATGATTAGGCAATGCAAGTGAGTATTTTTCTTGATCAGAGCTCGAACACATATTCGGATAAAGCCGAAAGATACCGGGCAGCGTTCCAATACCGAACCAACAGCTAAATTCACGTGCTGCACCGTCGGCTAGTATAAGTAGTTCATAATTACTAATTGCACTCGATTCAACGGAAGGAACGCTAGTCGCGAGCGTCGATTGAAGATTCGGTGGGCTCGTTTGGGCTTGTGAAGTCTGTAAACTGCTTTTAGCATCCCGATTTAGTGTTTGACCTTGATCCAAGGCAACAATAATACTCGATTTTAGGGCACCCACAGCAGCACCACTAAAGTTTGTCGTTATCTTGACAAGAAAATCTATGCGGCGTCTCGTGAACGTATGCAGATCTTTCACTATTAATGGTTGGAGCATTTTTTCTCGAATTTTCGGCGATGGTCGACCAACAAAACATTTCGCTTGCATACGACGCAAAAAAGCTTCATCCATCATATTTCGACGATTCGTAGCACCAAGTACAATCAAATTTGGAATATTTTTCACACCTTCAATATGTGAAAGAAGAACACTAATACCGTCTACTTTGGATTGTTGAGCATTATTATCTCGTTTAGGAACAAGCCCATCGATCTCATCGATTATCATCGCACAAATCAGATAGGATATAGGATTTGAACGATACATGATGTCAACAAGTAACTTTTCTGTTTCACCAACATGAGGCCGATTAAGTTCACCAGCAGCTAATGGAGTTGTTGTTGTAGTAATACCAGCAAACACTGCAGCTCGTTTTAAAAGTTCGGATTTACCTACAATGTAAGTTTAGCGGACGAAATAGTTAGGAAACTTCTCTATTAAATAAGATATGATGATCAATTGAAGAAATCTTCAATAAAAACCTATACTTATGGAACCAAATTGTTTGATCTTATTTCTAAACTGCCATTTTTTCTGATGTAATTAGGAATTTTCACAGGATAAGCTACGTAGGACTTACAAGTATTAGAAGTGCTTTCACCACGAATCTTCTGAAAAAGTTCGAGAAAAAATTCTCCGAGTATTTATTAGTTTCAAAAAGTGTTTTTCATATCTGGTAATTTCAGACGGTGAGAGTGATGGAGTTACACTCTCAACTCTCATTTAGAGTCAATCAGCTAAAAATTAAACTTACACATGGACTGTAACGCTCATGTTCATGAGCTTGAGCGGCTCTGCTATCTCTCTAAAAAGAGGTAGTCTAAGCAAACATATTAGTTTCATCGTTAACATATATATGAAAACGTCGAATAATCTCTACACTAGCTCAAACAGAACCATTTTTTTTCTCGTAATACAAGAATCGAAGTTGTTGAAATTTAATTCGTTTGAAGAAGACATTGTTTTTATTATTATAAGAAACATGGTGGGATTTAAGTCATGTAAAAGAGGATCGCTGAAAACTTTAAAACCGTCTCGTTCAGCTTTACGTGTCTTCATAACAATAGAAAGAAAAGGCCCCGATAAATTCTGATAAGTCGATAGAAAAAAAACCCCGATTAATTAATTACATCTTACTGGCAACTTGCTCTTCTCCTTGATCTATCAATGCAGTTTCGAGAGGAGTGATGTTCAATCTTGGGTTCTTCTCACTAAAAACCAATATTTGACAAAGACAGAGCATGGAATAATCACTTCTCCATCAATTAGATCATAGACGAATTGATCAAAAATATCCATCCCTCAAGCTATCCTTTCGGAATGGGGAGGGACTTTAACTCCTGTTGAACGATGTGAAGCATAGAAATGTGATTTTGCTTATATTTACACAGAATAAATAGTCTGACATAGAGAAGAGACTTGACACAATGGCATTACATTTTAACTCCAGTAAGTCAATGAGTTAATGTAACAAACTGAAACCCCAAAACAATACCCACATCCAAATCCAAACTCATTAGACCAAACCCAAACTCAAACCATTTGGATTTGCTGCATGCCTAACAATAGCTTTCATGTGATTACATTAGGATGCAGCAAAAATGTCAAATTTAGCAACAATCGTCTAGCAAAGTCACTTACGAGCAATTTCGAATGAAACTCATACCCTGACATTTTAATCAAGATTCATAATAAATATGCTGCTCAAACTTATTTTTTTTATCCAAATGCTGTCGTTCAAGCTATCAGCATTCAATGCTGCATCGAAATTTAGTATTTTATCTAGGCGCATAGAACAATTGTTTATGCATCCGCTTTATTGCTGCATTTTAGAGATTGAATCTTCTCATTAAATCTAGACAGATCATCCTACCGCCTGTTTCTAGAAGACGATTGTAATCCAAATCTCATCCTGAACAAAAATAATTATTAGATCATTTTCATACAAGTAATGCGGGTTTCATTGAATTTCAAAAAACAAAACGAAGTACACTTCTATCAAAGAAATAAGACGCAATGAATGGACAGTAAAAATACAGCATGATGCCTAAAACAACACAAATATGCTATTTTGATGTCCACACTAAATTTTTGTCTCGAAAAAGTTTTTCCCAGAAAGAATTGCATGCCAAAAAGTACTTTTTAGCTTGAAAAACATTGATGAAATAGATTAATCACATCAGTTTAATTGACCCAAACCAGTCATCAGTCCGTAGCAAAACTGAAGAGCCCAACCCAACACCACGTCTGGCAATAGCAAACTAACTCATCTCTTGATCGATGGTATCGGATATGATCTGATTTCACGACTCTAAAGTTTCCATTAAAATTGTAGACTATGTCCAACTAAAGAACTCAGGCACTGACAAATAGTAAAGAATCGTAGAATTCCAAGTTTCAGAAATTTTCGGAATACTCATGTCTGTTAGTATGGGTGGGTTTCAATGTGCGTATACATGATGACAGGTTTAGATATTAGCGCGTATGAGTAAGCATGATTGACATTGGATGTGTATGGTCTGCAACTAGCATCAAGAAGTGTATTTGATTAGAAAACATATTGATGTTTCTGAATCAGTGAAGAGAAAAATCAATTGTGTTGATAATGGATGAATTCCATGATGTCAGAGTTCTGAAAAGTCTATTGTTACCTACGATTGTTGAATCATTGACATAGCAATTTAAAGAAATCTTAAGTTTTGAGATCACATATGAATATTCGACACTCTTAGAGTGAAATTGCTGCTAAATAGAATTGCAAACTAGCCATTAAAAAGGGATCAGTCTGATAAATCGTCGAGTGTTCTACGAAAATAGTGATTCTCTTGTTATGAGACACCATTCTCATGGGCATTGGAGTACGTATTGAGATTCGTTCTATAAATATTGGCAATCCTTTTTGGTATGCTAAACCTTTAGTTTTATCGTCGATACTGCGGTCACTATGTTGAAGTTTTTAGTGTGTGTATTAAACTGGATCTGTCATGCTTCAAATACAATTGCTATAGGAACTGTGATGAAAGATCTTCACTAGTACAAGCGTGCTTCGAGTGTCAGCTTTTTTCCGCACAGATTCGTCATCTATCACTGTAGTTGGTCAATATTCTTCCAAGTGTATGTTTAGCCAAAAAATCTGTCTATAAGGAATCCAATCTAGAGGAAAGTCATGAAAACGTATCACATCTTTCTCTTTCATAAGTGGAAGTAAAAAAAATATTAATTTTGAAAATGTCGATAAGAAAATGAAGGAACCATGGATTACATGCAGGAAATATTTCTTTTTACGAGCTTTCAAATACACTGGGAAAAACTTCTCTTTGTGCAAGTTCTACTCAAGTCATTCATTATTTTTATCGTACCAAATGTTTTTTTTTAATCGATATCCTTTCAGATTCAGACGGATTCATATGTAATTAATGTATTTTTGACGTCTGTGACATTGGATTTGGATAATTCAAGCATTTAAGAGATTCCAAGAACGACATCAAGTCAAAGTATTGTTTGGTTTTTTGTGTAATCTATAATATTTGTAATGGTAAGACAGTCTCTAATGAGATCTTGCATGATGTGTATATCACGTACGTATTTCTCTTAGATTCAATTGAGATTAAGTTTAAATAATGTGATTTGAAATTTGCTCATAGTTCTCGATACTTCTGAGAGAAGTGTCATTGATGTAAGTTACAAATTCTGACACAAAGAGAAACCAAAATTGAAAAAAGGAAATCAATTACAACCTTAACAGCTCAGTACATTTTGAAAGAAAGAGAGATTTAAAAAAAAATTGTAATTTTCACTAGTTATAACTATTTAATAAGTACTTCTCGAAAATCACTATTGACTATGATTTTCGATGATAAAATAAAGCACGTATAAGTTTGAATAAAAGATCCAACCGTCGGATAACTATCGATTAAGTCTATTGTGAGCAGAAGATCAACTTGACCTATATGCTGCTCTTACAATCAATCGTTTAAATTTTTTGAACCATTCATATATACCCTTAGGAATTTCGTGTGATACAACACTTACCTGTACCAGGTGGTCCATAAAGTAGCAGTCCTCTGCCAAATTTGATTTTCAACTTCCGCTGTTCATCCGCAAGATCCAATTTAAGAAAACCTTCAAGATCTTTAATCCGTGCCTTATGTTCTATGAGTTTTCCTGATGTTTTCATATACAGAAGATCAGCTTCACTAAGTTGTTCTTCTTTCTTTTTCATGTCCTCTTCTACTTCTGCCTTTTCTGTGCGCAGATTTGTGAGTTTCCTTGTCGAAGCCAAGGTCGAGGACAAAGCCAAGTCCTTTATTTGTATATTGATATTAACTAGGCGTAACTGAAGCAATTCAATATATTTCTGAAGTTCTTGACATTTTTTGTCCAACGTTGGTAGTTTCTGCCGCAATTCACTAGCTGCTTTTTGTTTATCTTCTAGTTCCGCAGCCCAATTTACACGTTGTTGTTCGTTTTCACGAGCACTAAAAACAGTATTTTTCATACAGAATGTTCTCAAATATCCATGAATGTTGCTAAGAACATTGCCATCATCGTCGTATGTTCTTCGGATTTCTTTTATGGATAAATCGACAGCTTGTCGATCGAGATAAGGTATGTGGTCAAGTGTCTTTGTAACAAAGTGAAAATAACGTCGTACTCGATGTATATCACCATACAAAGTGGCCTTTGAATCTGCATACGGATCTTTCGTCGTATTGAATGCAGTTGATGAGTAATTTAATTGAAGATAATCACGGATCATTTGTTTTACAAAATATTTTACAGATGACAATTTATCCCAACAGCTGTCATCTGCGGCCACAGTGCGAAGATGTTGAATCGTACAGATATTCTCGGCTATAAGAGAAATGACTCAAAATGTGGAAGCAATAATGATCATAGAAGACTTCGGAAGCAGCATCCTTTTAGGCACTTTATTGTCTAGAAATCCTGGTCCAGGAATTGAGACTAATCAAAACTTCGTTTACATACTAGTATGCTTTTATAAAATTCTCTAAAATTATACAAACTTATGTTCTCTGTTTCGTGAAACTTACTTATATTTGTGAAGAAAATAGTGAGTGTAAGTTTGAGAGCAAGATTTTTGCGGTTTCTTCCCTCCCATTACGAACATTACTGAGTTCGTTAATATACTAACTAGCAACTAAGCCAGTTAAGATATCGTTCATCTATTGTTTTATCTCTAATTGCTCGAGAAAATGAAGTTCTACACCATTAAAGACAGACATTAAGAACTGTTAACTCACTCTCCCTTCATTACAGACATTAGAAAATATTCTTAAATGAGGTTAGCACAGATGTGTTGAGCACGAAGGAGTGTCATATTCTCTTCCTCCCAATATTTGGAAATTTTGTTTTTTTTCTACTCGAAAATTTACGAAATGTTTTCAGGAATTCTCGAGAATATTTTCAATTTTGCAAAAGCATTTTCAAAAAATCGTCGTACTTCTGAACTTTTACCGTTCTGGGACACTGCTGATTATTGGGAATATTCTTTACAAAGCACGGAAGTTTCATAGCAGTAATTATAAGACTTATTCAGTTTGAAATTCGAGGTGCGAGTAGACATGAATACCTATATCCCACGAAGAACATGTCAATGGACATACTCGAAAAGATACTCTGCAGACCGATGGAAAACCTTATCGATCACAGTTCGATCTATGCTAAAATCTTCCTCTGAACCTAAAATTCTTTAGATTTCACAGATGGAAAGATTTTGTATAAATATTCCATTGAGAAAATTACAAATAAAAGGTTTTGAGTGAAAAATCAATGTAATTCTTCAGTGATGACACGTCAATGTTTTTGTAGTAAGTATTGGTATTCAACTAAATCTGCACTCCATGCAAATACTAAACTACTAACTACTGGATTGAGTAGCTTCTAAAATTACATGCAATTCTAACTTATGACGAGGTTCGCAGTGACTATTATCAAATTGGTTCAAAGAAAATAATCGGTCTCATGGGGTAGGGAATGGAGAAAATTTTCTTATTTTCATCAAACTGTCATGACATGAAGACAAAATGATACATATCATTGTCTTGAGAACTAGTGATTCGATGATAATTTATCGAGTGCCATAACAACTGTTTATCATCATTATAAGTAGTGTGTAAAAATATTTTTTATGCAATCCTTTTGGAACTATTCAGCTGAGCTGTAATGAAATAATTAGTAAATACTAAAAACGCTTCAGTAATATAAGTTGTATCATAGACTGTAGGAATCGTATGTCATCTTCTACATTGGTCTCTGTCGACCATCTGTCTCGGTTTGTTATGAGAGAAAGAGTCTATATTCAGATTTCTACTCTGCATAGTTTATAATTTCTTTCAGATGGTGTTTCACAGAGATCAAAACAATGAATCATCCCTATATAATGATCTGATTTTGCTTCTTCAGAATTTTGTTTGTTCATAGATCTACACCATGAGCTTGATGCATCAAAAAACTCAATAAATTTGAGGAAATTATTACGAACGAACTCAATTCTATATCTGATATCGCATACAACGGGATGTTTCAAAAATTATTCTGGTGCAATACGGTCTCATCCACTTTTTCTCATTCCCAGGACAGTGATTATGGCAGCCGTGAACGGTCTGAAAACCGAGTTTTCGATCGTTTGCACTCATTTACAATACGATAAAAAATAGCCATTTACGACTAGGATTGTCTAACATTGATAGATTTGTTCATCTTGAAGCTAATACCAATCGATACAACCTAAGATTTTGCTGTCGTGCGAGTGGTCTTTATAATACAAATAAACGGTTTTCAGATAGTCTTACTCTAATGTGTTTTGCAAAATTCTTCCAGGGAAAACTCATCTCAGTCATTCTTGGATATGTATCAATGCATATGTTGTTTAAATCGATAATAATTTCTCAATTTTAAACACTCAAATGAAGGTTGTAAACTGTGATTGTGAAAACGAAGATGATAGTTTGAAGAACGACCACTTTTTATATGTCATAGCATGATTTTGATAATTTCTTTTCAATACGCAATATCTGTTTTTTCCCTTAAGCATTCAGGTGAAACTAGATTCATGGTAAAAGAATTTACTCGTCTTATAAAGGCTAGTTATAATAGAACGATTTAAAGTGGTATTTTATGCAAGTAACAATTCGATATATATCGATTAGTACCATTCCTAGGTAAGAACTGATTAAGAATGGACCGCAACTTGTTTTAATAGAGATTTTTTTGAAGTAGATTGAAAAAATGAAATATTACAATCAATATTTACACAACTATTTCGGGTTTCTTCTATAACTGAATCGATCGAAGCCTATGACTCATCATCAGGTCCCCACTACTAAAATGTTATGAACATACTTTTTGTCAGAGTATTTGTCAGATTTCTTTCAAATAACTCGTGGCACATTGTTGAAAATCTAAAGAACACAGTAGTCGAAACTAGAGTAGAGGACACTATTTTTTGGACGATCTTTAATTAATGATAGGTAATTGACGAGACGCTCATTAAGTGAAAGATTATTGAAACATCACAATGATTGCTAATACTGCTCCTAGATAGAAATCTATCTATGACTCTGAAGTCGTAGTTGACACGGTATCATAACTATAGACAACGGTTAACTATTCTTGAACGAAATATTTCAAAGAAACAGTCAGATCAAAGATTTCTTCAGCAAATGTCAAGCCGAGCTAGACCTATAAGTTCGTATGTGATCACTAGCCGTCCCCGCGATGCTTTATATTTTTAGTTTGATCAATATTATATCAGCAACAGATTACGCAAAATCTAATATTTTTCTGACTGGTTTAAACTCATCAATAATCCATCAAACGAAAAATAAAAGTCATAGCATTATCTAAAATTCAGAAGGAGATCATCTATTGTGGTTACCTACTTTTCATTCTTTATTGTACTCATAACTAAAACAGTCATGGGTTTTAACTACGTTGGCTTGCAGGAGAAATCTAAGATGTTGAGGTTTTGTATCAAACAAATACAAAGTTACCTTAATATTTGTATTCTATGGAGCTTTATGATGTTCGAAACGTATTCTTCGTTTCTATTCAGATAAGGACAGTTCTAGTTCCCGATTGTGTTAGAAATGAACATGTCATAATTGTATGTTGCGGACATAGATTCAATGATTAGAACCTAAAACTCTCAACCATCCTCGACATATAAATTAGCCTTGTTGACTTTGATTGAGATCTTGTATTCAACTAAAGCTTACGTTCTTAAAGAGCTATTAGATGGAAAATGATACGAGCCTTATAGATCGGCTTCGAAGAATGAAGAAAACTAGGACAAATATAATACTGGTTATAGTTTGAGAAAGTTCGTCGTGAAAAGAGTATTTGCACTATCATTTTTTTAAAACATCTATGATTTCTGCACTCAATTTTCGATAGGTAGAATGACACAGTAGGCTTGAAGTTATTCACTAGGGGTCACCACATTGGACAAGTCAGATCGATGTGGAGCAGCTCGCAAATATTTGCTCTTAGCGGAGGATAATAATGAGCCTAATGTATGTAGGATACTCATAATGAATAACCGAAATTTAGTTATACTTCAAAGACTTCCAGTAAAATGTGCTATAATGTGTTAAATTTTTCGATTCAATAGAGCCATAGTGAATATTTGTGTTTACCTTTCAAGCCATCCATCCATATCTCTGCATCACTTTCATCACATTTATTTTGAAGACAGATACTCTTGAGAAGTCCTAACAAAGTGACATCATCTTGTTGTGGATCGGATGCTTTTAGATCTACATTAGAGGTTCCTGCCGATGATGCTGTTGGTTGAGCATTAGGTTTAATCTTGTTGACTTGAACATTGGTCTCCGGTGTTGTTTTCCACACAGCTGGAAATCCATTAGTTCCATGATCGTCGCATTGATAGTCGGATTCCAGTATATCGATCAAATAATTGAAATTCCATGATCCAAAGGCATCGGTCTTTCGGATGAATAGATTCGGTCGATAAGTGATGCGTACCTTTTGATTGCTCATATCGATCGGCTCATGTGTTGATTCAAGCGCATACTGTTGAAGTATTGAAAGTTTTTGACCGGTGGAATTCATTGGAAGATATTCACTCGGTGTCATCATTTCGTCTACAAATCGATCCAATTCTTCATAAGAGTATTTCATTCGAACATTCAAGATTAGCTTTTGGACGATTTCGGTCGTTTTCGCATCTGTTTCTTCTGACAAAGTACCTTGTTCTTGGCGCTTGGATCCTCGCACAAATAAGTTACCTTTTCTTTTCTCGCTCGACTCAGTCATTGATCAAGATACCACTTCTATTTAATAATCAATACATCAATCTAGAAGTATAAAACTTTCTATACAATTTTAATGGCAGAAATCCTTAAAATATGGTGGATTCATTTGTTGAATTAAAAAGTTTAATTGAGACCAATTATTTTGTCTTTCTGAGTAAAATAGAAGAGCATACTGGAAGTTCTGTCCCGCTTTGAGATGCAAATAGCAAATTAACCCATTCCTCCTATCGCTCATTGTCTATGAGAGGCTGAATGAACGAAGGACGCTTTTAAGTCATTTGAGATACACTTCAACTTGAACTCATCATCATATTTGATGAAATTGACACCAAAACTAATCTTCAATACTACTAGCCATCCTAAGCTGTCGTCAACTTTCTACTCCTGAAGCGAAAATGGAGCAAAGGCAATGGTATGTCCTTAGTGTCTATTCATCCTAGCACCTGCAGGGTGTCTCAAAAGTCGTGTCCATTTAAGAAATGCGTGTAATTCTCTTATAAATAAACCATTATCTGATGATGATTTTTTTTTGTATTTGAAAGAGACGACTAGTACGTTTCTATTTATAAAGATAAAGTTTATAAAAGCTACTGAATAGTATTATTTTTAAATTCAATGCAAAAATTTAGATATTTCATAGTTTGTGAAAAAAACATCACGAAAAAGGTTCATTTTTCATGATCTCGATTTCATTCGTTATAATAATGTCTAACTCATCTAGATATACTATTGTTGTTCTTTTCAAGATTTAGTTTGAGATATTTCCAAAATGTAAGTCAAGTTGTATAAGATCTAACGACCAAGAGTGCACCAACTTGGCTCATCTTTTCTGCTTCATTTGCCGTCGACAACTTCATTTTGTCAAGTGCTAATCAATTTTGAAAAATATGCTTATAGGAATTCAACATTTCAGTAGATGATCCTTTCTTTCGTCGGATACTTAAATGACGACGCTTTTTCATTCAGAGATCTTCGACGACAAAGAGGATAAAAAGGTGGACCAGTTGGTTGACTACTGGACCGTTAGATCTTACATAACTTGACTTACATTTTGGAAACATCTCAAACTAAATCTTGAAAAGAACAACAATAGTATATCTAGATGAGTTAGACATTATTATAACGAATGAAATCGAGATCATGAAAAATGAACCTTTTTCGTGATGTTTTTTTCACAAACTATGAAATATCTAAATTTTTGCATTGAATTTAAAAATAATACTATTCAGTAGCTTTTATAAACTTTATCTTTATAAATAGAAACGTACTAGTCGTCTCTTTCAAATACAAAAAAAAATCATCATTATATAATGATTTATTTATAAAAGAAGTACACGCACTTCTTAAGTAAACACGATTTTTTGGGTGCCCTATAACTGAGTCTGAGGTGCTTCCTCGGTTTCTAGTAGAAAGAAATTTGAATTTTTACACGCTTAGTGCACACGAATCTATTTGAGAAATCTTGAGTATCGTTCGTGTATATGAAATACAATCGCTAAGAATTTTCTAGATATTAACTGAAAAAAAGAGAATCGTTATGCTGCATCTTGATAGATCTAAACGGTTATTTCGCTGAGTCAGTTAGTTTTTGCAGATTATGTGAATTTTATATTTTCAAACTACTGAAGTTTTCAAAATTAGTTAAATGACATCCGAAATAAAGTTTTACGTCTTTGACAAATTGAAGGAAGTTCATCACTTATGTGATACAGTTTGACTAAGAGACAAGTGTTGACACCATATTTACGTCACAAGTAACTCATAACTAATAAAGACTTTACTAGTAAATTATGAGTTACTTCGTGATCGGTCATTATTTAATCTGAACTATTTAGTTCTCTGTTACTAACTTAGTTACTTTTCAAATAAGGTAAGTTTAGTTACGAAACTTAAATTTCAGTAAAAGTATGACGTCTAGAATACACGTATATGCCGGTGTTTTTACGGATGAGAAGTAGTCATAATGCTATGAAGATCGATCATAAAGGTTATTGTCAATTGTCTCAGGTTCATAGTGGTAGATCTGATCTCGTATGAAGAAAAAATTGATGATTTCACTGTGAAAGTATGTAAATTAGTAAATTTCTTCTTATGATCCATGGTGTAGAGAGTATCTGAACATCTCAATCATATTCAATCTTGTTGTCATTTTGCAATAGTTTCTTGTCGGAAAAAAGTGTTGAGGGATATTTTTTTCGGATATCTATTAGAAATAATAAGTGTAAAACTGCGATCTCTTGTTGTAATCGTATTTGAGGTCGAATTTTAAAATATGTTTTCTGTGTTAGTGACTTAACTCAGTCGTAGAATTCTTGTTCATAAATGTCTATAAAGTAAGTTTCTTTTCAACCTGTCGATACAGTGTTCTTCTTGCTGATAGATTGATTAATTTGATTTGCAATCTCGATCGCTTTGGGATGTCGTTGTGCAATAGCCATTGATTCTTTGCTATAATCCCTCTGTTGGTTATAATGCTCTTCTTTACACTTGATTATTTCATCTCGAAATTCGTTGAGCTTCGTATAGCTTTCTTTTTTGAGTTTCTCGTTATTGTTCAGAGCACCTTCTTGTTTTATCAGTCCTGCATGAAGGTCATTATATCTCTTCTCATAGCCATGAATCTTTTCTTCGGAATCTTTTAGCTCGTTGTCAATGTTCTGCATCATTTCATTGGATCTCTTAATAATTTCTTTCCCATTTTCTGCCAGTACACGATTTTGATCCAATTTTGAATTGATTTCAGTAATATAGGTGTTTTTTTTCTTGATTTCATCTTCCTTCTTTTCGATTTTCCGTTCTATTTCCTTTATATTAGCATAATATCGTATATCTTCGGCATTTAATAAATCAAGCTTCTGTTCTAGTGTTTTTACTTTGTGATCCACTTCTGATATTCGAGCGTGTACCTGACGAAGTTCGTTTCCAACCTCTTTTTGCCGTTCTCTTGTAGTTTTTAAATCGTCCTCAAGCCGTTTCTTTGTTTCAGCCAAGTTTTCGAGACTGTTCTTCGTATCGGTAAGAGCATCTTCCGTATTTTTCAACTCGTCACGAAGTTTACCAAGTTCATTCTCTCGAATCTCTATATTTCTCCTCAATTCATCAGCTTTCATTTTCTTCGTATCGTATAACGCTTGTTGTCCAGAGATCTCGAGTTCTTTCGCTTTAAGATTATTGTTTAAATCACCAATGATCTGCTTCAGATTTTTGCTTTCATCTATAAATAGAAATCAAAAGATATGGTTTCTTAGTATGTCTCGCATACCAATCTGTTTATGTTCTGAAAATGCACATAAATAGTTTCCAGAGACAGTCATTATGTCTGACAGACCTCATTAGTTTTCAAAGCTAATTAATATTAATTAAATTCTTTTCAAATTTCAAATAATAAAGTAATCTAATCTGAAAAACTATTTCGTCGCATTTAGTGGAAGCATTTCCACTGAGTAGTCGAACTCGGTATCTTCTAGACTAATGAGCAACATATTGAACGATCTATAGAAAGTCATATCTTTTCCAATTTTCAAATATGCTCCACATATATGGTTTGGGCAGACCTTCCATTCCCATAAATCTCAATCTTTTACACTCCTAAGTAATTCATCTTTGATGAGAAAAACTGAATTTTTACTAATATAATATCATATCTATGAAAATCCCGATATTATCAACTTTCTTCTATCCGGTTGCGTCAGCCATTGTCGTATCAGAGAAATATTTTCAAAAAGCTTGTTAATTTACAAAAAATACTTTAATGAAATATTTAATGAACGTAAAGCGGTGAATGGAACATTTAAGTGTTTTATTATCATTTTAAAAAATTTTCGATTACAGCACTCTGTAGTTCTTTCTTATGTAATATGTATAACAAATTTTCACTTTCCTTCGTCTAGTCTATAACTAAAATAATTGACACAATGAAAACTATTATTAGCGAATATGTCCTGGAATCCGAAAAGTAAAAATCCGGAAAATGAAAAATTCGGAAAACAAAAATCTGGAAAAATCTTCAATATTCTTATAACAAAAGAGGAAGGATAATATTCTTTCATAAATGTTTATGGTTGTCTACGTCAACCATGATCATCGTCCACCGCGTATCATTCTACTTCATTGTGCTCTACGCTTTTATTATTATGTATAGACAGACGTGCGATGGCGCTGAACACGCCGCTGATCGTTAACTTAGCACGCATATATAAATACACTGTGGTTCCTCTCTATTATTCATATTTCACATCAATCTCACTTCTACAACACTGAACTATCTGGTCCTCTTATTTTCTATTTTCTTCTCATTTTCTCCACTCTTCATCCACAATGATCAACGCGCAACCGACTCACTCCTTCGTGAACAGTAACAATGGCAAGCCTCTTCTCGTTATCGACGGCTATATCTTTCAGAAGAGCGGCAAGGCCACGGAGACAAACACCTATTGGGCGTGTCAATCCAAGCACTGTACTGCCACCGCTCACACGAACTCGAAGACAAGCGAGCTGATGAAGCAGAAGAACAACCACTGCCATCCTCCCGTGCTAGAGGAGATCAAGATTCGTCACATGATGAACAAGGCCAAAGCTCGTGTCAAAGTCGATACAACAGCCGTCGGTCAAATCTACGACGAGGAATTGGCCAAGGCCAAACTGTCAAACGCAGCACTTGCCACGACACCAACGGCCAACCAAGCCAGGAAAGCATTGAATGTTCAACGGTGAATGGAAATGTCGGCTCTTCCTACCTCGGTCGACTTCTACATCCCACGACGTTACAAGGATACCCTCGATGGGAAACGTTATCTTCTCGCCGATCACTTCTGGCCCGATATCGGCTCCGGCTGCAAGTGCGTCGTCGCCTTTGCCACTGACGAGCAATTACGCCTTCTATTCAAGTGCACACACATCTTGATGGATGGCACGTTTGATACCTCTCCAAAACACTTCGCTCAAGTATATTCCATTCATGGGATAAAGCACGATCACGCATTCGCCTGTGTCATCGTACTCATGACGGTAAGAAAGGCATTCTACTACAGACATATGTTCGGTATTCTTCACCAACACGCCGTTCGCCTCAACCTTGCCTTCCAGCCGACTCAGGTGACGACCGATTTTGAACCTGCGTTGATCAAAGTCCTCAAGACCTAGCTTCCCAATGCCCATCAACACGGCTGTTATTTCCACTACTGTCAGGCCATTCATCGAAGAATCCAAACGCTCGGGCTTGCAAACCTTTACAAGAATGACGTCGACGCTCGCTCATGTGCTCGAAAACTCATGGCTTTGGCTTTTCTTCCGCTCAACCAGGTCGCACTCGCTTTCGAGACCATTGGATGAAGAACGTCAAGCTCAGCCTATGAACGTGGCCGAATTAAACGTGCGCACGAACAATAACGTCGAAGGATGGAATAATCGTTTCAACAAACGAATGAACAAGTGTCATCCGAACATGTGGGCCTTCGTAACTTGCATGCAAAATGAAGAAGTGCATTTTCGGCAACAAGTGCTCAAAGTGTTAACGGATGCGCAAAAAACGAAGATGAAGCAGACTCTGGCTTTACAAGCTAAAATCAACACTCTTGCTAAACATTTCGAGGACGATGAGATCGACCGCGCCGAACATCTCGAGGGATTCTCTTTACTGGTAGCTAGTAAAAAGTGAACTACATCACTTCTCTTCATATCAAATGAATTCTCTTCTTTATTGTACATGCTTCTTTGTTAAATAAACTGTTGAATCTTTTTATAGAATTTTTCCCGATTTTATCTTTTCCGGATTTTTTCCTCCTGATTTTTTCTTCCGGATTTTTTTCCGAATTTCGGGACAATATCTTATTAGCATATATTTATTCGGTACAATGTCATATGATTTTATTTAGTGTAATTTCGCCAAAAATGAGGTTCACTAGTTCTATTATCGCTAAATGAATTTATCACTGAAAAAAGATATAAGTTTCATGGAATTAGTCATATAGACAGCAATTATATTTTAGATAATCAGTCTATAGTACCAACTCAAATCGTTAGCAAATCGAATGCTTAGAATCTCAGTTGCTGAGGCTGTGCGTGAAGGGAAAACTAGCATTCACAACCAGATTTAAAATGATTTCACTGCTATTTTAACGTGTATGTGAGTGTGGATCTTTTCTATAGCGATATGGACATCTATACTCACAATTTTATCATCGGAGTTGGTCATCATCTGACTTAGAACTCAATCCAACCTGCATGGAAGCTATTTCACTTAGGAATCAAATGATTTGGTATCATGGACTAATTATCTAAAATATAATTGTTATCTATAAAACTAATAAAATGGGATTTATATCTGTTTTCCGTGATAAAATCATTTGGTGATAGTGGCATTGGTGAAATTTATTTTTGGCAATAATGAAAGGTACGATTATGGTTCAATTTCGCATATATTTTCGTGAAAGATCGTGTGATCAGCACTATGAATAGCTGAACTTGAAGTTCATGAAAAACCATAGAAAACTCTATCTACTAATCAGTTATTTGTTCCGTGGAGGTGTCTTCAATTGATTCGACACGTCTCTTTATTCTATTCCGATGACTGCTTTTCTTTCGGTGAGCTTCACTTTGAACTTACTGAATTTTGGTTGAACTCTTTTCAACGTTATGTTAATTCATTTCTTAAGATAGTGCATAGTCACGACTATATACAAAATCCTCGTTATCTATTTCAAATTAACGTATTAACTTAACTAAGCCTTGGAAAAGATTAATTTAATAGAGACTTAATTTCGAACGGTTATTTTTCAACTGAGACTGTGTCAATCGATTGTAATGAGACATGATATTGTAAAATTGCTGAAATAATTCTACTTTGAATCACAATCAATTAAGGTACATTGACCATTAGTTTGTCATCGCAATTTTTATCTGGATTCTTGCAATTTCTATGATGGACTGAAATAATGAGAAAAGACTACTTGGCTTAAGTAAATATTTTAGCTGTTGGGATTCATATGAAGAGGATGTATTGCAGACAAAATTTCCAAAATCAGGGGTACGACTTATTTGTTATGTTTCGTAGTCTAATCTAAAGGTATTCCTACTTTTGAGTTGCTCCACAACAATCGATTGATTTTGATGTTCTTGAATGCAGTTTGTAACATCAGTTTGATTCTTCTCGAGCAATATTGCGTGTTTTTCTATCTTTCGATTTTGTCTTTCAATCTGTGTGTTTACATTTGTCATATTCTCTTGGATCTGTTCGATTTGAGTTTTTTGTGAAGCCAATTCTTGTTGCCTACGTTCTAAATCAGCGTTGGTTGTGTTTAAAGACGTTTCTGCTCTTTGCAGTTTTGTACCATTTATACGTAGGCTCGTTTCACATTCTTTTTGACGTCGAGTAGCATCCCGATGTTCTTCTGTCGTTTGTTTAGTTTTGTTTTCACAAGCTTTTAAATGCACCTTTGCTTGGTTAGTAACAGTCTCCTGCTTCGTAACATTCTCTTTCGTCGCATCATATTGGTTTTTGCGATCAGTAACGTTAAATTCAGCAAGTTTCTTTTTATCTTCAGCTTCCAGAAGTTTCGTTTTTTTATTTTCAACCTTATCTTGGGCTCGATGAAGTTCAGATTTGGCATTGTCGAGTTTTTGTTTTGCGTTAGCGCTGCAATTACCACCAAAACCGAAAAAAGAGCCAATGGTATCGATAGCACTCATTAAATCGTACTCTGCTTCGGCTGCTTTGACTTTCGCCTTTGCGGCTTTCACTTCATTCTCAGCATCTCTTAGATCTTGTTGGGCCCTTTCGAGTTGAAGGTGAGCGCGTTCATTTTCATTCTTTGCTTTCTCATATTGACTTCTATGCTCACGTTCTAATTGTTTGAGATCAGCTAATTGTTTTTCAGCATTTTGTTTAGCTGTTTCAGCATTTCCCTGCTCTCGAATGGCGTCGTTCTTTTGGTCAAGAAAATTTTGTGTTCCAGTAGACAGCTTTCCAAGTTTTTCAGTTAAATCATCATTTTCTTTTTTCAATTTTTCGACTTCCTCACTTTGTTCTCTTTGCTTCTCTTGAAGTTGTGCAATTAATGCCTGTGTTCGCTTGTACAACTCTTGTGCACTAGCCATTTTTTGTTGAATTCGAGTCAATTTGTTTTGCAAGTCGACAAGTTCATCTTGAAATTGTTGATTCATTCTTTCAAGTTCACGACGTTGATCTTCTAGAATTTTTCGTTTCTCTTCTATTTCTTTCAACTTTTCTTGGGCAGCAACTAAGGATCCATTTACTTTTTCTATTTTTTCGTTATATCGTTTAATCTGTTCCTCTAGTTGGTTCTTTTCATCCATCAAACGATCGATTATTTCGAGAGATTGATCGATTTCTATTTGAACTTGATTTAACTCTTCAGTTTTCGCTTCCAAGATTCGCCTTAATTTCTCTATTGTTTTGGCCATTTGTTGAATAGCGTTTTCTAATTCTTTCTTTTTTAATTCGAGAATACGTTGTTCTTCTAACTTTTGATCGATTTCTCGCTGCTTCTCCTTGATTTCTTTTTCCAACTCTAATATTCGGAGGCGTATATTTTCGGCTTCTTCTTCCAGTTTTTTTTTCTTCCCTTGTTCTTGTTCGAGTAATTCTTCGTTCTTCTCCTTTTCTTTTCGCACTTCTTGGATTTTCTCTTGTAGATCCCGCAATTTATCATTAAGAAATTGTTTCTCTTTTTCAAGTTGTGCTTGTTCTGCGACGAGCTTCTCCATTATTTCCTTGTTTACCTTCAATTCACGTTCGAAATTTTTCGAATCATTGGTCAGCTGTTCAATATTCTCCGCTTCCGATACTATGAGCTTTAGTGTTTCTATTTGTTCTGTATGTAACTCTTGTATCTTTTTCTCACATGCATGCAATTTTTCAATTTCTTGTTTAATTTCATTGAGAATATCATCAATTTTATTGACAATTGCTTCACTAACTTTTTCAAGCTCTTTTGTCTGCTCGGCATCGTTCTTCTCGATGCCTTCTAGTCTTTCGATTTCGGCTTCATTGACCTTTCTCGCCTCTTCTTTCTCTTCTTCGTTTTCCTTGAATTGTTTCTCCACAGCAGCCATGAATCTGAAACCAAATACTTTATTATTAATGTACCAGTAAAATATTTCTGTTTTAACTCAATAATGAAATCATAGAAGAGTTACAATCATCGATGTTTCATTATAAGTTCGCTTTTGGATTCGATTTACTTATTTCCCAAAATTTATATGGAAGTCATTGCAAAACTCATGAAAGGAGCATTTTATTCAACCTTATTTGTAACGGTAGACACTATCAGCAGCAGATTAATCTAACGAGGGAGGTACCCGAAGTGTTTCCTCGATTTCAAGCTCATACTTTGCCCACAAGCAGACCTTAATGTCAATAGCCAAAGCCTACAAGACTTCGTGCCCATGGGCTGTTGAAGCCGATTTATGACCATTCCACTGGGTTTTCGATTTCAAGCAAGGAATTCATGAAAAAATAAAACGACGGTGTTTTGACCTAAAATTTTGTCTATGAAGAGGCCTCATGATTATTAGAATGCCCTAAAACTTTCAGCCAAAACGAATGCTTTATCCTTGAAATATTGAGTTTTCAAAACTATTCAATTTTCTGACTTTTCTGCGGCATATGATCATTTTTTAACCATCCCATATCTTAGCGATAAAGCATCCATTTTGATTGACGTTTTTAGGACATTCTAGTAATAAGGAGGCCTCTTCATGGGCAAAATTTCAGGGCAAAATACCGTCGTTTTATTTTTTCATGAATGCCTTGCTTGAAATGGAAAATCTAGGGAAATGGTCATAAGTCGGCTTTAACAACCCATGGGCACGAATCCTTGTAGGCTTTGGCTATTGGCATTAAGGTCTACTTGTGGGCAAAATATGAGCTCGAAATCGAGGGGACACTTCGGGTACCTCCCTCGTTAGATTTGCAGATGACACCGACCTAATGGATGAAGACTATAGTTCCCTACAGAAATAGTTTGAGACAACTAGAATTGCCGCGGAACAAGCAGGGCTAGTTGTGAACACAGCCAAAACAAAGACAATGGTGTTCGGTGAAAGAAACATAGAGCAAGCAATACAAATAGCTGGAAAAACGATAGAAAACGTGCATAGGTTCGAATATCTAGGAAGCATAATAACGTGGGACAACAACTGCTCAGAAGAAATGAGAAGACGAATAGGCAACGCAGCTGGAGCGATGGCGTCTCTAAAACACATATGGAATGGGAAGAAACTAACAGTACAGAACAAACTCAAGATCCTAACAACGTGTGTCTGCAGTGTACTACTATACGCCTCAGAAACATGGACCCTTAAGAAGACCAACAAAAGAAAACTACTCGCATTCGAAATGAAATGCTACCGAAAGATACTAAGAATCAGTTGGAAAGACATGATAAGAAATGGAGATATAAGAAAGAAGATATCGAAAGAAGAAATTATAGTAGACATAATAAAGAAATGACAATTAAGACTATTCGGCCATATCTGTAGAGCGAACGATAATCGGCTGATAAAACACACAATATTCGCAAAAATCGATGGAAAACCTCCAAGAGGACGTCCATGTAGAGAATGGCTGGACGACATCAAAGACTGATGTGGAGGTAGCGGACAAGGCCTGTTCCACCTGGCGCAAGACCGACGAAAGTGGAAGAAACTAATCCACACAGTGGTTGGTCCCAATGAGCGATAAGCCTATGGGACATCATGAATCATATATCATGATATGAAAAAGCATCCTTAGTAAACATAGAACGATGCTAAATGTAGATGATTTAAAATCTCTCTGAAATCTAATAAGTTGATAGCACAGTCTCTCAATGAGCCTTGTTACCTTTTCACTCGTTGGCCGCCAACGTGTATAATATTGGCCAAATATTAATTTATTTGTTTCTAGGGGCGGTTTCTCTTCTTTCATGTACCTTTCTATATCGTCTTGCTGACATACGAACGTTTCACTTATTACATTTTCTGCTTCTCCTCTGATATAGGCACTAAGTAATCAAAGACATTTGGATATTAATATCAAGAATGCGATAAGCTTTTTTAACGAAATAATCGTCATTCATTGGAGAAAAATATTTTGAATAAAGTCATCTTGATAGAGGAGGACTATGTTTTTGGAAGATTACATAAAATATTTCAACGTGATAAGTATACCTGCTATTGATTCAAACATATCTTCTCTTTGCATGTTATGATAAAAGCATAAGCACGAATTTAGCTTCTCTATCTCTTTCGTATTAACCGTTTCTCTCAGTCACATTAAAGAAGACAACATCAAAGGAAAGGAGAGATCAAAAGAGAGGACAAGTAAATAACCTAATAAGTGAACACTTCGTATACCATCAAGACGATATAGAAAGGTACATGAAAGAAGAGAGACCGCCCCCAGCAATAAATAAATTAATGTATGAACAATTTTATATATGTTCGTGGTCAACAAGCGAAATGAGAATAAGACTCATTAATCAGAAAGCATGAAGCTATTTTCAGACTATTCTCAAGAGAAAAAACCGCTCACCTGGGAAAATCTGATGTTTAACAAGGGCCCCCCTTTGATATTCGCTAATGGATATTGTAGGCTGTTCTCACATGCGTCATCAAATAACTTAGAGTGCATAAGATTTACCTAGTTCACTCGTTTAAAACAGAATGTAAATGTAAGCAAGTATTCATTCAAAAAATATTTAATTGTAGTATTGACGTTTAACTAATTAGATTAACGATGAATATAAACGAATTAAATATCAAATAGGAAAATTTGTCAATTGATACTTAGTCTTATGCCCAGTCGCTACAGTAGCTTTTTAATACTGTCAGCGATAGATAAGATGAATATTCATGTCTTGTATTAGCTCACAAATTCAAATTTACCTAGACTATATATGCTTACAGACAACAGAAAAGCCTGCGATGATGACAATCAATCATATAATGAATCGTCTGGAAGCACGAAGAAAAAGAAAAATAAGGTTGTTTTTATGCTGTCCTCACCTGTTCTGTTTGACGACACTCTGCAGAAAAAAAAATTTGATTCTGCTGTAATATATTTAAAATACGACAGAACACAAAAAAGAATGTGTTGGTGGGATTTTATCTAAACACGTACAGAACTGTTATTTTTACATATATTTATTTTGAAATTTGTTAGGGTTTATTACCATGGGTAAAATGAATATTTTGCTGGGAACAATGTTTGATCGTACTTTCTGCAGCAGTCTTTCATCCTTTATTAAGTTCATAGATTGTTGGCAAACTGACTGTTGAGAAGTGGGATATCAACAGGATGCGAAAAGCAATTATTCAAGAATATTGAAAAAAGCTCTTAGCGAAATCCCTGCACGATTAAAATATGAAATATGATGTACGTGTTGTTGCTAACGCACAAATATGGTTTCTTTCGATATATATTGGGACTCATTTATTATTCATTTTTTTATTGGTTGTTTCAGAACTGCGGAAGGTAAGAAGGCGGTATAATTCTAAGAAGATACTCCTGATATAAATCGTATACCGAAAGGTCTACTGCAGCCTCTGATGGTCTCTAGGTCATTGTCCCACGGCCCATGATATGATCTCTAGAATTCCTCTGTCACGGTTTGTAATGAGTAAAGAGTTTCTCTGTGAATATCTGTGATGAATATAGGATTTCTCTATTAGGGGTTGGGTATGGATGTATATGAAAGATGCTTGTACACTCACATCCACACCCATTGCGCCAAGAGATACACCGATGGGACATGCTACCATATGCATATAGTATCATCCCTACGTTATGTCACTCTTATTTCATATTATCCTCGCACTATGTCATCCGTGTACTCTCATGTTATACAACATTTAGTATTCGATTCTCTGCGAGTGCCTTTGTAATCGCTGCGTTATATATTGTTCTTACCTTTCTATCCTGACACTACTGTTTTTATTCTATTGTTCTTCCGTATCTGTCCTCTGCTTGGCCTCATCTCCTTTCCTTTCATTCTCTCTTCTTCTACTTGCGTATATATAAGCGTATGTGTCGTATGTAAAGGGCACGATTATATGATATGAAGGAATAGAATAAAGTGTAGCTTCATCTACACTAACCTTCTTTCTATCAAATATTGTTACACACATTCTTTCTGGAGTCAAACTGTCACGATCTGTGA